CAGCAGAGTGATTTCTACCAGACTTGGTCTTAATTAGAACCATGTAACCATGAAATTTTGTTTTCCGATTTCAGGTTATTCTTTTGTTTCAGAAGATTGAAGGGGTAGATGTATGCCTTTTTAGCATGTATGTCCAGGAGTTTGGCTCAGAATGCAGTCACCCAAATCAACGTTGTGTTTATATCGCATATCTTGATTCTGTGAAGTACTTTAGGCCTGAGACAAAAACTGCAGCTGGAGAAGCACTTCGAACTGTTGTTTACCATGAAATATTGGTATTGTACATCTTTTTCTGCTCCACTTATTAAGGCTTTTTAAAGCTCATTGGTTGTTATAGTTGAATCACTGATATTGTTTCTTGCTCTTCTGTTCTGTTTCAATCATTAGATTGGATACCTCGAATACTGCAAGAAACGAGGGTTTGCAACCTGCTATTTATGGGCCTGTCCGCCTTTGAAAGGAGAAGATTATATCTTAAACTGCCACCCAGAGATTCAGAAAACGCCAAAGACTGATAAGCTGCGGCAGTGGTATCTTTCTCTCTCTCTCTCTCTCTCTCTCTCTCTCACGCACAAGCACACACACATAGATGTGTGTAGGTGTGTTTTTGCATGCATGTGTATCATTGTTTGCACACGTGTTTTGACTAATAACTATATGCAAGTGTAGGTATCAGTTCATGCTACAAAAGGCTGCTAAACAGAAAGTGGTGGTTGGTTTGACAAACTTGTATGATCACTTTTTTGTTTCCACCGGGAAATACAACTCCAAGGTGACAGCAGCTCATTTGCCATATTTTGATGGTGACTACTGGTCTGGAGCTGCTGAGGATGTGATAAATAATATTGAGAAAGCAAGTTCAGAAGACTCAAAAAAGATGGGCAAAAGAATCATGTCAAAGAGAACATTGAAAGCCATGGGACACACAAATTCTTCTGGTGATGCCGCTAAGGATATTCTGCTGATGCAAAAGGTAAAACTTGCGAACTACCATTCTTTAGTTTTGTCTAACACAAGTATTAGTTAAGTAGTGTTAATTTTGCCTGAAAGCAGTTACCCTTTTAAAATTGGAAATCTTAGTTGTTGAACAGGCCGGTCAGTTTGCCTATTCAATTAATGAACCAAGCTCAAGTTTATGTTTTCCAGCTTGGTTTTTAGAGAAACCAAGCCAAGCCTGAATAATATTTTTAGTTTTGATTTATAGGGCTCATAAAGAACCTCAATTAGAGAATTTAAACTAAGATTTTGTTAGTGTGTACAAGGTTTTTCTTGTAAAATTTTTTCATTCAAAAATTCTACAAATATCTCAAATTAGATACCCATTCAGAAGGAGACAAGCCAGATTTTACACTCTTTTTAGATGGTTTTTTGCCCCTTAACTGACAGCATATTAAACCAATTAGCTGATATTTTGTTAGCTCATCTTGACACATATTTTTGGCTAATTTCCCTCATGCTATGAAAGAAGCTTTAGTTTTTACTATTTCTTTGAGCATACTGGAAGTACGTGAAGCAAAATTTTAATAATAGCAATTTGATATCTTTGTACGGAATCCTTTTTTTTTTTTAATTCTGTGTGATTATGCTAGTGACTAAATAATTGATTTCATTGTTCTCTTCTTTGATAGCTGGGGCAAACTATTTTACCTATTAAGGAGGACTTTATCGTTGCCCACTTGCAGTTTGTGTGCATACATTGTCATAGAGCTATCCTATCTGGATGGCGATGGTTTTGCAGTCTGTGTAAAGGCTTTCAGCTATGTGAAAGGTCATCATTCTTTATCCTCTTATTTATTAGAAGATGCTCTCTGGCAGCTTTTGTGCTTTTTTGTTCTTATTTATATCTGGTTAGCACTATATTCCAATTCTTGAAACTCCATTGAGGCATCAAGCTGAGTAGCCTTGACTTTTGGGATTCTTAACTCTCAGACACGTCCTGTCTAGAATTAAATTTGAGATATAAAGCTATAAAATGATAGAAATATTAAGTTTTTATTGATTCTGTTTGTGTAAAAATATTGAGATCAGAACTATGTAGAGTTAAAACCTTTTTAAGAAAGCCTGCATAGCAACTTATCACCTTTGTGAAATTATCTTTTTACTTACCAAATTTAGTAGACAATAATGCATTAGCAGCTTACTAATGGGAAATGCTTTATCATACCTGCCTATAAAAGGAAGAATTACCCTTTTCCTGCTCTATAACTGTTGTTAGCATCAGACATGAAAATTGTCCTGCAATTTTACCGTGGAAGATTGCCTAGTGGTGTTTTCACTTTGCTTTTCATGATTTATAAAAATAGACATAGAAAAAATTTCACATTTTTAATAATATAGTATGTCTTTTAAGTATTGATTTCTTTTTCTGTGTGGATAATTGTCAACAATAAGGTTTCAATTGTCTAAGCAAGATAATTCACTAAGTGACAGTGGGTTTTCTGTTTTGTATTAGAAGCATGTAGATTTTGATATTTCAAACTGGCAGTCTTATAAGAAATAGAAACAACAGAAATTACTGTTTCTGTTAATTTCACTTGAAAGAGGAGAAGCCTCAATTTATAAGTCATTATTGTGGCAAAACAGATTTCAAAGTTGACTGGTGGAAGTAAACAGTTGGTAGTGGTTAATAATTGAAACATCAAAGTACATGCGTGTGGCAATGTGGTATGCTGTGATCCGTGTTGATTTAGTCTTTTTCTTTAAAGTTATTAGCATTCTCATATTGTTTTCTTGCTCTTTCCTGTGACAAAATACCTATTAACGATTCTAGAGCCATTATTCCAAGCTCGCCATATGCACTGCTTCTAGTTTTGTACAAATTGCTCATTGCTCTTTACTCTACAAATCATTACAGGTGCCATGATGCAGAGCAAAATGTCTACAAGGATTGCACTCACACTTTATGTAATGGGGAAAAACATGTACTGTGTAAGGTGAATAACTAGCTCCTGTTGTCGTTGCCTTTATATCTACGAGGTTGGAATATTTATGAATATCTAAATTAAGTCAACTGTATCTCTTACTCTTCTCAGATTATGGTGGATGATGTGCCTTCTGATACTGATGATACAGATGCCAGTATGGATAAGGGTTTATTTGGAAATAGGCATAGTTTTTTGAGCTTTTGTCAGAAGAACAGTTATCAGTTTGACACACTTCGTCGGGCCAAGCATTCCTCAATGATGATCCTACATTGCCTTCACAATCCAACCTTGCTGACTGCTGAGACCACCTGTAGTATTTGTTACAAGGACACACCAATGGACCAGAGCTGGCTATGTGAGATCTGCCCCAATGTTGCTGTTTGTGCTGCATGCTACCGAAGAGATGGTGGTTCTTTGCATATTCATAAATTGATTCTGCATTGTTCTCCAGTTGATTCTAAAACCAAAAATGGAGAGGCCCAGAAGAAGAAATTACTGGTACGAAGATATTGCCAATTTTAAAGCATTGGAAAACATGAATGTTAGCAACTGCTAGTTTCTAAGTTTTTATTCTTTGCCTGATGTCTACAATCTAATAATTTATTTTTCAAAATCATGCATGTGAGTTTCTCAAGGTGTTTAATGCAAAGTTTCTTCGTGCCATTGCTTTCATACCTGATACTAGTAGGCTATTCTTGCTCAGTAACCTTTTTCATTATAACTGGGGATTTAGATTTAATTAGAATGTTATTTGATGGTGTAGAAAAAGCAAGTGCTAGATGTTTTGCTGCATGCTTGTCAATGTCGCTCCCCCTGCTCCTACCCTAATTGCCTTCTCATCAAAAAGCTATTCTTCCATGCAAAAAAGTGTGCTGTCAGGATTTCTGGGGGATGTGAGCATTGTAAGAAGATGTGGCTCATATTGAGACTGCACTCCAGAAATTGCAAAGAATCTGATTGTGACGTACCGCGCTGCAGGTAATGATACTACTAGCATTCAAAAAGCTCTTCTCACCTAAATAAATCTAAAAGTTTTTTCCCTTTAAATAACTTATTTGCTTTAAATTCATAGGGATTTAAAGCAGCATGCAAACAGCCGTCAGCAACAATGGGAAGAGGCTGCACATGAAGAACCACTGATCGTACCTGATCAGATGGGTCAGAGAGTTTAACATCTCTGTTGTACAGTTAGAGTAGGAATGTCACGATGGATACAAGTATACAGCATGTCATAGAGGACGGTTTGATAGTTACCTAGCCGAGGTCATGAAATCTTTGCTTTTGACCTCGCACTGTTGTATAGCTTCTTAGCATCAATTTTGGCATGAATAGAGAGTGGACACCCCATTTAGGAGGTAGCTTTGAGGCCAAGTAGTGAACATTTTGTCAATGTGCAAGTAATGTAAATAATAATAATAATAATAAACTGTTTAGTAATGATGTTTTCGATGATATTCAGTGTATTACTAGGAGATGTAGAATTTTTCTTTACCAATTTAGAATTTATCCTTTTGTTTAATGAGTTAGGGAAGTGGAAGCGAGGGATATTGATTTTATTTTTAACCAGTAATGCAAAGATGGAGGAAACAAACAAATTTGTGAAGCGGTTTTGTTTGCAAATTACTATAGAAACCAGTTATCATTCAGGATAAACCTCCAGTCAGGTTGTGGCCAGGGTCGTAACCTCTGATTGGACTTTGGGAATTTAGAGGAGGCAATTTGGCGGGGCAGGTCGAGTGGATCAGATTCCCACTAAAAAGAGTGGGGTGGGTAAGTCTCTCAAGTTGATCCGATTGATATCAGCTTTACCGGCTCCAAGTAAGAGTAATAAGCAATGCTGAACCGGAAGGTCTTCCCCCCCAACCTTAGACGGCACCAAGTAAACATTGCATTCTTCCAGTTAAGCTGCCCAAAGTTCTCCCAGAACCTTTTCGTCGTATAGATGGCAGCATTGCAACTTTTGCCAACCCTTAAAAAGTTGCTTTGTACTTTGTCGTGTATCAATAATTCCATAGTTGAGGAATGATGGTCTGAAAACTTGACAGGGAAAAGGTGGATTGGTTGAGATCACATAAGTCAAACAATAATTCCTGCAACAATGAAAAATACAAGTACCATTTGATACAAACAATTTGGTTGAGGAAGCCAGTCCAGCATTAAATATGCACTGGTCATTGCTACATCAAATCATCTAGGACTGTAGTACAAAAGAATATAAAAAGCCCCAAGATCCTAAACCCTAACAAAAGAAAAAGAAGGGGGCAGAAAACCCAATCTCCCACCTGAATTAAGATTGTGGTTATAACTACATTAAGATTGTTAATACACACTACTAGATCAAGCCGTTCCTACCAGCAAACCTAAAAAAGCTGATACAATCAAAGATCTCACTGAAATTTGCCAAACTAGGAATGAGTTTTGCCATTATTATGTGGTGAAAAAATTCCAGAGCTTCTTTCCCATCGAGACTTCACCAGGATGCTCTTCATCATCCTCATCCTCATCCTCATCTTTAAGCCCTTCACTGCGTGAATCACTTCTGCAGTCATTTCCATCACCATACTCACCAACCCCTTCAGGGGTGGTATTCACCTCCTCACTTAATGCTGCATCTGCAGCCAATTTTTTGGTTGCATCAGCATCACCATCATTAGTGTCCCGAGCTGTCTCACACTGCCACATAAATATTACAATATCATGCTATGCACATTACAGAAAAGAGTAAAACCAACTGCACCACTGCTACACATATAATTTACTCAACTATGCAAAGCATTACCATAATGCGTCAAAATTTTCTGTCAAGTCACAATTGACAATTTAAATAGCAAAAATTGTTTACTTCAATTGTCATAGACGTTGATTCATAGCAGAGATCATCAAAATACATATATGACCATCCACATCAAACATGCACAAAGTAAAGAAAATTAGTTTTCCAAGACCCTTACCTGCTGCAGAAAGTGTGCAGAACCACCATTCTCACTTGCATCTCCATTTTCACTAACAGGCATGGAAGCTTTTGAATAGTTAACTTGATCACCTGCATCTTTAGCACCTTCATTCTCTCTATCCGCATCAGATGTGCTTTTAGCAACTGTGACCCCACTGCATTAAACAGAATTGCCATGTTAGTTGCTTCATAAAAAATAACACAGCATTTCTAAGCTTCCTCTGAAGGTTTTTCTACTGGACATTTGTTTCTGACAAAATCACATTGTCAAAGGGTTTCACACAGTAAATTAGATTGCAATCTAATCCAATATGTAGCAAACAGCACCTATTTGAAGTAAAATGATTTAAGAAATTTAACATAACGTTAGTTTACAGTCGCCAGAAAAAGACTCCACTCACTAACTGAGATCCCCTTACATACCACATTTTACCACGTCTGCAATACATTTGATCAAGTCTTTCATCTCTTGCTAGTCCCCCTCTTATTAAGTGGACCCACAAGGATACAAATGATTAATTGAATTATGATAAGCTTACATGAACAAACAACAAAAATAATAACACATCATAACTTGTCCAATGAATATATGGTGCAAGGGATGATAACATCTACCATCTGTGCAAGCTACAGACTCTAGTAACTTACGTTTTGGGCCGTCGGAGATTATATCTTGTCTCACCAGGAGTAGGCATAGCCAAAACAACTTTTTGGCGCCTCTTCCTTTGCTGGCCTGCCACAATACTATCAGAATGTCCACTATCAACACCATCTTGCTCACTCTCTGTTTTTTGAGATGTTTGAGCATGGTTCCGCTTCCGTGCATTTCTAGATTTTCCTCCATCAACAAGACCAGATTCATCCCTGCTTTCAGCATTGGCATGACCAGAATCCATATTCCCATTTGGATGCTCAAGCTCATTTGATTCTAAAGCTTTCCCAAGTATAGCCTCAGCATCTTTGACAACTGCCTTCACACTGCGTGTTCTTTTAACTCTAGGCCTGCCTCTCTTGCGAAGCTGATTTCCACGATTAAAATCAGAATTCTGAGAATCTCCCAGCACTTCCAGTTCCTTACTATCAATATTGCTCTGATTATCAATTGATAGGTCCTGACCAGCTTCGACATCTCTTGTGCTGGTGTCAGATTGGACCCTATGAACGTCCAAAGATTCAGTGGCAGCAGCAAAAGAGAGCTCCGGCTCATGTTCAATATTCGATGTGCCTTCCATATTAACTTGCCCACCAGAGAGGGGGGGCCCCACATTCAATTCTGTTACAGCATGAGGCTCAATATTTTTACCTGGAGAGAGTTTAAATATCTTCGAAGTGCATTTACGAAGCCATGACATGGTTCCACCAGAAACTGGAGATCCTGAACCAACTGGTGGAGATATCTCATCCTTCTGCCTCTTAGATGCAGCCAAATTTCTGAAAACATTTCCACTCATATAATCACCTGCCAAACTAGGAAGTGGAAGGACTTCCTCATCCTCTATTTGCTGTAGGGATTGTAAATCAGATAGCATAAACTCAGAGGTCATCTCACCACAATTCTTGCAACTCTTATGTTTCTCAACAAATGAAATAAAGCGGTTTCTCTCCTTGATAAAGTGTTCTCGCTGGTCCTTCAACTTCTTGCTGAGGTCCACAAGGTCATCAATGTCTTTTCGTATTTCAATTTGTTGTCCTTCAAGATGCATCTTACTAGCATTAACTTCTTGCTTTTCTTTTTCTATCTTAAGTCTTTCCTGTTTCAACTCTTCCATTTCTCTCCTAGCTACCTCTCTCAAATAGTTAATATTGTCTAATTCTCTCTCTTTTTCTTCCTCAAATAACTTCTTCCTCTCTCCCAATTCCTTTTCCATCTCCTCAAATCTATTCTGCATATCACTCTCAAGTTTTCTTTTCTGCAGCTCAAGGTCATGAAGCCTTTGGCTTCTCTCACTTTCAGCTTTCTCAGCAATCACTGATCGCTCATGTTCCATTGTGGCAGCAAATGTTTCTTTGGCAACTTCAAGAGCTTCCAGCTCCCTCTTTATGTAGTCCTCAGCCACTTGCTTCTCATTCTTTAACCTTTCCTCTTCGGCAAGTTTCTGCTTTTCAAATTTCTCCGTCTGTTGGCTGATATTCTTCAACTCTTTCTCAATCTCTAATCTTTTCTCATCTAGCTCTTCCCACTCTCTTTCAAAACTCTCCTTTTGCCGTTTCAAATCTTCAGCTTCCTTCAAAAGCAGTTCTTCACGAAGCCTGCATTTCTCTATTTCTTCCTTTAATTCCAATTGCAAGCGAAGATACTCAGACCTCTCTTCTTCAGTTACCCTAAGCCTATCGTTCTCCTCATGCATCTTTAATAGCTTTTCTTCATTTTCAACCCTTATCTTCTCAACTTCAGCCTTCAGGCTCAAAAGATCTTCTTTGTCAGCAAGCATCTGCTTCTTCTCAATCTCTAAATTCTTCACCTCAGATCTGATGGCCTTCTCCCTTTCCTTATGGTTTTTCACTTGTAATTCAAATTCCTTTTCTTTCTCTTTGAATTTCTCCAATTTCTTATCTAATGCCTGCTCTCGTTTAGAAACCTTCTCTTCCAAGTGTTTGACTTCAGCTTCCTTCTTCTCCACTTCAATCACCTTGCTTTTCAGATCTGCATCTAAGGATTTTCTCTTTTCAGCAATTTCCAACTCAAATTCATGCTTCCTGCCATCCAGAATGGCATTATGTTCATCCAGGAGCTTCTGAATCTCAACCTGCCAATATATGCAAAAGAAAAGCAACAAAAACATGATCTTAAGTGATAGCTAATAAAACCTGGCCCCCCAAGAGACCTAGATATAACTCTGAATAAGGTATAAGTAAGAGAACAAAATTAAAACATATTTAAGAACATAAACTACAGCAATAGAGCTACAACACCCTAAATTTTACGTAAACACAAAACGAACTCCTGATAAGTGCATGTGCGTCACAAACATTTGCAAAACCTTACCTTCTCTCTTGCATTAAGCTTTTCTTCGATAATGAGTAACTCCTTCTCTTTCATCTCTAGCTTCTCTCTCACAGCATCCCATTCCTGCATCCAAATGATAACGATAAATAAACACTATTAATTTCATATGAAACAACTGTTCGACGTGAAAATAGCTTACCTTTACTTTCAAAGTTAGATTTGCTAGCCTGCTGTTTATATCCTCTTCTTTCTCCTTCAAAGTTTGGTTAGCAGCATCAATCTTCTTTTGCGCCTCTTCAAGGTCTTTCTCCTTTAGCTTAAAGAGCCTATCATTCTCATTTGCTCTCTCCTCTCTTTGGTTGACATATCTTTGGCTTTTGGCCAGCCTCTCTTCTGTATCTTGCAATTTTTTTTCCCATTCCCACAAGTCTTCCCTCTGTTTGGACAAAGTAGTCTCATTTGCTTCTTGCCTGAAAACAGAAAAAGAATTTATAAACTTTAACCGTAAAGCAAAATGAAAACTCTTCAATTAAGCAAAAAACACGCAATTTCATAAGAGTATATAAATTCAATGTGCAAGGTATAAACACAATCTCCACTGCACCTGCCAAACAAACCCCCACAAGGAGAAAATAACAAAGAAAGTAAGCAAGGTTGGAGCATACTCTGAAATAAAGGATAGACGTTCCCTTCTAAGTGCATTTTCACGAGATTCCACCTCTTGTGACTTCCTTTCAATCTCTGAATTCTTTCTACTCACCTCAGCAAGCTTAGCATCAGCTGCACGCAATTTTGCCTCCACCTCCAAAGATTTCTCTTCAACACCAGCAATCAAAGCATTTGCTTCAGAAAGCTTTGAATCTGCAGTAAACTTGATTTCTGCATTTTCTGAACGCATGTCTCGTAAAGCTTTCTCTAGCTGTAGCAAAAAAACGTTATCTAAAACATTACAAAATATCACCCCATATATAATACCATAAAGAAATCAATAAGTACGCAAGCTTTTAATTGTAAAGATAAAGAATTACATATATAATTATCCTTTAATTTATTCAGAATCATACTCAGAGACTAGCAGAAAAATATCCCATTAGAAGAAGCCAAACATAATTCTTGCCTCTACTTATTGATATAACTAGAATTACGAAGCAAAAGCCTAATTACGTGGATGCTGTTATAATAAAAGCAAAACAATGCAAGGAAATCATATTGAAATCTTTCAACATCGGAGGGGAAAGATTAAAACGGTATATAAGACCATTACATCAAGCACACACTGCTTCTCAACACCAAGGGCCTTCCTTAAATTCTCTTCATGCTTCTCAACATCAGCTATTGCAATTAAATGTGCTGCTTGTTCCCGTTTGAGAGCATCCTTTGCTTCTGTCAGTGCCTGACTGAGTTCTTCATACTTAGATGTCCACTCCTTTTTCTCAATCAAGAGAAGCCCCATATTGTATTGGTAATCAAAAAGCTGGGACAAGATACAGATCATTCCAATGAGATAGTGCAACATACTACAAAGCATACAAACTATGAACAAGTATAAACCCATCAAACTGAGCAGATAGCTGTAAATACATCAGCACAATAGATTATCAAATTATAAACCTAAAACCACATAAAAATTCAAAATTTTCGCTTGAACACAAATGAAGAATGCTCGAGCAAGCCATTCTATATACATGCACAGCTTAGCCAACAATATTTAAACATTCAATTTTCCTGTTCTAGTCATTGGCAGTCCAAACCTGTCAACAGTTATGCTTAACAAAATGGAGACAGTTCCGAACCCAATTTTCATTTAGTTGTAAATGACAAAAGAAATTAGCAAGATGCTATTGGTACCTATAAAAGTGCATAAAGTTAACTAGGTCTGTATTTTAGTTTGATTAAGCACATTCATGTTTTGATCAGTCTTCATGTTTTGATCAGTCATAAGTATACAATATGAGGCTAATGTTTACCACAATTCTTTCCTGAATTTCCTTGTTCCTTATTATTACTGCATTTTATTCTTCATGTTCATTGGACAATCACCAGTTGCAGATATCTTGAGACGTCAATGTCCACAATACAGTGTGAGCTTTAGAACCCACAGTCTAATCAATCAAACCATGAACCAGTTATTTCTAAAATGTTAAGTTTGCACATGTGAAAAATTTTTCACAACAGACCAATGAGCAATTTAGCACTTCTGCTCTACAGCAAGGTTACAGAGGAGAGTACTAACAGCTAAGATGTATGCCACTCGTTTATAAAGATGGCACAGTACAGACAAGTTTAAGTAATTCATTCAGATCCCTCAACCCATATTCAAAAAGGTGAAAACAAAATGCTGATACCAAAAACTCAACTATATAACATCAAAACTCTACTCTTTTCTAGTTACATTAACTAGTCCTACATGGTGTTCTTGAATGCACAACCAATGGAGGTATGGCACATCTTGCACTAACCTGAGGCACTAACTAGCCTAGCTACCCTGACTCTCAAATTCAGTGATTATAGTTATTTAACATTAACCCACAATCCAGCACACTCAGAAATCACTAAATCATAATTCCATATCATGGTTTTTATCTAAACCAAAGGTTTAAAACTCATTATGAACATAAATACCCAATTACCCAAGTTGAGTTGTAACTTGGAAATAACAAATTTGTTACCATCAGGAAAAGACAAACTCACTCAACAGATAAATTTCCTCATGCTGTAATATAATTTTAGTTTCTCCCTCGAACTCATAAAAAAAAAAAGGGAATTAACTAAGAAACCATATTTAAGTGTTTACTTAACCCAAATACGCTAACTCACTCATTTCAACTTTAGACAAATAAATTAATGGTAATTTTCTTACAGCAAAAAAATAAATCAAAACTTCCAACAATATATGCAAATTTAAAGTACCCAAAATAACAAATACCTCATTTTCCAGTCTTAAAACTTTCTCGGGCACCCCTTCGTGGTCCTCCGACCCAAGGCCGTTTCCGTTGGGAGTCACCGGCTCCACAAAAGCCACTCCTTTTCCTTTCCCTACAGCAACCCCGTTGGAGTTCGGATCCGAACCCGACCCGTCCACTTTCTTCCCGGGAGTCAACGACCAACCCGACCACACCTTCCTCTGCGGCGTAAACATTTTGCTAATACCCCAGTTTGTCCTTAAATGATCTTAAATTCAACTGCATAACCAGAAACAAGAAAACCTCTAATTCCAGAATTCCCAAATTTTATGGAAATTTATTTTAATAAAACCCCTAACTTTTTCTTCCGTTTCTTGTTTCTCTCTGTTCGAGAATTTGAACAATGGAAAATAGAAAACCTAACGCCGGACTTGAAATGGAATCCTAAATTCCGGCGAGGAGTAGAGTTTGAAATCCGTTAACGTCTCGAAACAGAGAACTTTTTTCTCTCTCTCTACTTTCAGCCAACCTTTTCTTTGCGCGGATCGCTCACGTTCTTTCCTTTTTTTATTTTTTTTATTTATGGGCCCTCCTCTTTGTACAAAGCTAGATACCCATTTTACCCTTTTGATTATGTTTTTTATTTGGGTATATTGGGGATTTCTTGGCTTTTTTCAACGAGCTTGTTCTTGAGTTTTTTATAAGGACGGAAACACCCATGGTAGGTAAGTGACGGTTTAGAGGTGGGTAGGGGGTAAATAAGGGAGTGAAGGAAGGGTGTTTTGGAGAAGTGATAATGACTGTTTTTTGGGGCAATAATTGAATATAAGAAAATACTTTTGTACGGAAATGCCACGGTGTCGAAGAGCTGTTGGGTTTGGGGGCTCGAAGATAAGCATCTCCTTTGTCTCCATGTGGATTCATGGCCACCATTATCGACTCTCACTCTCTCTTTTCCTTTTTTTTTTTAATTAATAATAGCATTATTAGAAAAGGAATAAAATTTAGAGGAAAAAGGAGAAATTTTATATTGGGTTTGGAAATTGAATTTTTAAATGATGGGTTAATGACTTAAATCACTATCATTATAGACCTTTTTTAATTTTATAAAAGCATTAGGTGAATCATTAATGTACATATAATAACCTAAAAATACTCTTAAAGCATTTAAACATTAATTAATGTCTAATGAAACTAATTAAAATGATATTTTATAAAAAAAATATGTATGTAATAAACCTCTTTTTTAATTTTGATGAAAATAATAATATTAAATAAATATTTTAATTATATGTAGTCACACTTGTTAATTAATTAAAAAAAAAAAGGTAAGAAACGAATGTTGGATGTGGGGCTTGGACGATGAGTCCTGAGAGAGGGGCAAATGGGTGGTGAATGACACAATGAGCATGTAGTGTGGCACATGGAATTGAGTGTAGGAGGGCCCACAAAAGGGTTTTTAGTGTACTTTACCAGATTGATGGCTGAAGAGGCAGTGTGTAACACCTGATTTTACCACTTGCGGCTAATACTTTTTATTTTTTAAAAAATAAATAAATAGGTTTTCTTTTAGCACCTGAAAGGATAGAGGAGTAGTGCACATTTTGCTCATAATTTTGTTTTCAATTTATTATTTTTAATCGTTAAATTTTTATTTATCAAATTAAATCATTGACTTTTATTTTCATAAAAAGCTAGAATATTGAATAATATCAATAAATTATGTTACAAATATTTTTTCTCACATTATGTTATGTTACAATTTTCTATTTTTCATACTTCCCTGTGTTTGAATTTTTTTTTTCTATATTTTCTCATGTCAAAATTTTTGGTCATAAAATGTTTGATTTTCTTAGTTAAACAAATTTTTAAATTTTAATGTGTAATTTTCATTGTAATAGAAGTTTCAAAATGTTATTAATTATTAAACTTTTATTTTGGCAAATCAAATTCAATCGAAAAACCAACTTAGTAAGTGAATTGATAAAAAAAATTAAATTATAAAATAAAAAGATGCATTAATAAGAGCATATTAGTAAATTACTTTCTTTTGAAAGGAGGATTCGGGTCCATGTACCATATTTTCAAATCGATTTTTGTGCGTACCTTTTTATATTTTAAAAAATGTACATGCAATTATTACAACTTCTTAAGCCTTTTACATTTTAAGGTAACTTAAATTCTTTTATTTTTATTCCTCTTCTGCTTCTAATATTTATCTAAATAATTAAATTATTCATCTATTTCACCTACATACTAAGTCTGTCTAAGACTAGTATAACTCAAGTGTAAAAAGTGCATAAGAAATGTTCCTTTACCAAATTACTATAATATATTAAATTATGTATAATAATATTATATGTATATATATATATATTGTAAAAATGAGCTTGATGCTCCATTGAAATAGCAATGAAGTCATAAACGAATTAGAGTGCCTTATTTAAGTAAATTCTCAAATATTTTGGATAGCAAATGTTTTTTATTATTTAGGAATGAAAAAGAGTAATGTGCATTAAGAGGCATTCATTTTTTTTGTCAAATTGGTTGATGTTTTTGTTACCTTTTTTTTTTAAAGTAGGAAAATAAATGGTATATATTTGGATAAATCATTTTTTAAAAGAATTATAAGTGATGTTCGTAGTTTTTATTTTATCATATTTTGAGTTATGGATGTGATCATCTCCTTGATAGGCTCCTCATGTCCTTAATCAAAAAAACACTTTGGTAAATGTAGTCAAACTCAAGGCTATAGGTAAACATAGCCAAATTCAAGCAGTCAGTTCTCGATCAAGATTAGATATAGGTGATGCCACCAGATGATAGGTAGGAAAGCCAGGTTATATCAGGCATGAAAGAGAATGCTACTCAGTTTCTATATCTTATATGTACTTCATAAAAAACTAGGAAAGCAACAATCACATAGCAATGCTCCGATAAACAAAGCCATAACAAACAGCTTTTGCAGCATGGTACACATCTGTCTTTTTCTTTTTCTGATATATAATTAAACTAATTCTGTGTCCATATCATAGAGCTTAGACTCAAGGCGTGGGCTAACTAGGATTTCAAGCGGGCTGGCTTTCAGATTTGTCAATCCAATGCTCTCTGTCATATCTACATCTTCAAGGTTCGATGGTTTAGCAACTTCAAAAAGGTGCAAGAAAGTAGCTAATGTAAAATGAAGCATTTTGATGGCTAGCGAGACCGCAGGGCATAACCTTCTCCCAAAGCCCAAAGGGATTAGCTCAAAAGTCTGGCCTCGAAAATCCATATCCTTATGGCTAGTCAAAAATCTCTCAGGCTGAAAATCATGGGGGTCTGCCCACACACGCTCGTCACGCTGAATCTTTCAGGCATTTATCATTACTCGTGTACCTGCTGGAACATAGTAACCTGCTGAGAGGGTGCAGTCTTCCATTGCAACCCGGAAAAGAATTGGACCAGGCGGGTATAAGCGCAATGTTTCCTTGACAATAGCTCGAAGGTAGACCAGGTTTGTAATGTCAGATTCTTCCACCCGTCTGTCGTTGCCAACGTGCATGTCTAGCTCACATTGGGCCTTGTGTAGCACGCGAGGATTTTTAAGTAGCAAAGATAGAGCCCATATGAGAGTGACCATGGTCGTGTCACTTCCTGCTAGGATTAGATTCTGCCAAAATCTAATCATAAGAAGCATTTTCTTGGTTTAAGAGGGTCACCTATTTAGCTATACGATATATAGAGAGAGATGAATAAGATTGATGATTTTAGGGATCAAGACTGAATGAGAGGCTAAGATGTTCTTGGCCCTACAACTACTACAATCCCAAAGAGATTGTTTGAGCATAATAAAGCTTTATGGCCATTCTTTGCATTTTCCATGAAACTTTTAAATTCTTCTATTGTCTTGTTTCATTATTTAAGATTATTTGGACTAATTAAAGATTGTGGTCCCACTAAACTTGCCAATTTTTATCCAAAAGATTAGATATTTACGAAGGAGACAATTTAGGCCCACCATATGCTTTCATATGTAGTCGATTTGACAAGATTTTCAATTTTGCGTAAGCTCATTGGCCTATGTCGCAAACATGAAACTGGGTTTCCCTTCTTCAAATAACCTAGCTACTTTTGACGCTACGAATACGAGACATCCTATTTTACATCACAAAGACTAAGAAATCCAAGTACTTTAATCCCTACTTTCCCACCTCTCCAGTTTAGCAGGATATGATATTTTCAACAGCAGTATAGAATAGTAGCATTATTTACTAGCATCGGTTTTTTTTAAGGCCTCATTTTCACAAATAAATACCATCAAAAAGTTAGAATCAGGCTAACAGGACAGATTGTGGAGATAGTTTCGGTTCTTACCAAACAAGTCGCTTTGTTGATGGTGTCAGCATCGAAACCAGTAATCTTGGCATTCTCCAGGATGTTCAGCAGCGCATCCATGAAATCTTGCTCTTCTTTCGACCCTCGACCCAGTAGTCTCTTCTGTTTATGCTCTTCAAGCCACCCTCCTACAAGAAAATCCAGTTCTTTTGCAGTTCTTTTCATGGCATTTTTATCTCCTTGAAAATCCAGCCACCCAAGAAATGGTATTGCATCAGACAAGACAAACATCCCAAATAGATTAAAAAATTCTCTCATCACGTTTCGACATCTTCGAGCTTCCGCTTCCTCACAATCAGCATTTGGCCCAAAGTATCTCTTGCCTCCCACCATTCTCAAAGCAATATTACCAGTTATGTCTCCAAACCACTGTTTCATATCCACTAGTACCCCTCTTTCTGCACTACCTTTGCTAAGCCATGACTTGTACAATTCTTTTACTGCAGTGTTTACCTCAGAAGCTCGAATATGCTTCAGCATATCAATCCGATGGGTTGAAAGAAGCTCAATTGTAGCAATTTTGCGCATCTCACGCCAATAAGACCCATAAGGAGCCAATCCGAACATAGCATGATCATAGCCCAGAAGCTCTGAGGCAGTAAAGCTTGGTCTACTGGAGAAAACTTTATCATGGACATTGAAAGTCTCTTTGGCCACTTCCCAACTATTTAAAACCAAGACTTTGTGTGATCCTAACCTTAAGGAGAAAACAGGTCCATATTTGTCAGCCATGGCACCTAGTATTTTGTGGGTGAGTTGCTGGCCACCGAAGTAGTGCATGTGGCCAATGATAGGCAATGCACCACCAGCTTGAGGTGCACTGCAGGTTCTGTTCCTCTGAGCGCTTGGTTTCTTTGGCTGATAAAGTAAATGCAACTCCAGAGGGCAACAAGGCTGCAGACTATAGTAAACAGGTAATGAAGGAGGGGGTCCATGACAATATTCAGAGCTTGGTAGAGGGCAATGTAGTAGCAAAAGTCTTTGCAAGGCTAGCAAGTCTAAGCAGCTTTAAATCTCTTTGGTGTGATTTCCTATGGCTGTCATTTTCCGTGAAGATAATATCTTGTTGAATTTTGAATTAAATAATTCAAAATTTTATCTTACTAACATTTTAATTTGTTACAGTTTTAAACTTTTTTGTTCCAATTGATTCCACTCATCGACAACAAAATCTCACAAAAT